CCCTAAACCCTGAACCCCTAACGAAAAAAAGACCCTGTACTACAAGCCCCCAAACCCTAAACAAAAAACAAAAAGACCCTGAACCCGGAACCCTCCTTGACGAAGCGGGAGACTCGACCCAGTCCACGGAGGAGCCGCTGCTTGGACTGTCTTCGAGCGCTGGACGACCTCAATGGGGTTTACATTATTAGAAGGGGCCCCCACCCTGTCATAGTGGTATAACTATAGGAATATATTAGGGCCCTAATATAATCCTTATGGTCACTATTACAGGGTAGGGGCAGCTTCTAAGGTTTACAGCGAAACCCAGGCCTGGGAGGACTATTGCGAGGATCCCTTGTAATAACTTTATCGACGACCTTGATGGAGTTTCGGGTTTTAGGCGGTTTAAAGTTTAGGGCTTGGACATATGGGTGGTTGTCAAAATTGTGGTCCCTTTTTGGGTACCCTTAATATTATTAGGTGCCGTATTAGAATGAGGACCCAAGAAGGGACCCCAATAGTGACAACCAGCCATGTAAAGGACGGGCACGTGCTTGGAATTTTCAGAAACTCTCATACAAGCCGGAAGGCAACACGAGGTCGACCAGGAGAAGCACCGCAACGCCGATGAATGTGCCGACGACTTTCGCAAAGAGAAAACTTCCATCCGCAGAGGTCAACTTCACCTGGATTCAGAGGGTTGATGATATCATACTTGAGGGGCCATGGGACTCAGTAACTAGGGTTACAACTAAGGCAACCATACCTATAATTGCTTATAACCCCAATTAAGGTACTTATAACCTAACTTGCTATGTCCCCTGATCCTCCAAGTAGGGTTGATGACATCATAGGGACCCGTAGGGGTGAGGGCCTTAGGAGTAGGGGGAGTGGGGGTAGGGGATTATACTTCCTTAAAACGGCCTCATGAGGTCCTTATTATGGGCATTAAGGAACCCTACCCCCCCTCCCCTTACCCCCCTAAGGGTCCTTACGATACGGCTGGTGATATCAATCCTGGGGCTCCTTTAAAGGAATCTAAAAGGGGGTACCTTCCCCATAGTCTAAAGTAACTTAGGTAAGGCAAGATCTACTAAGGAGCTTCATCGGACATCGGGCTCCAATACTTAGTGGCTGGGAAGTATCCTAGCCCGAAGAAGCCTAACCTGTTCTATTATAGTAGATTTCTATAAACCCCAAACTGTTGAAGGCTTCATAGCAGTTCCAATGCGCGGGTCTTAATCACAGAATTCGGGTTCCCCTGAACGGCTCCTGTAGTATTTTATGTCTTTCTCCTGGAGAAGCAATGGATATGGGTATTTTACCAGTTTCTACACTACCCGGAAGTTCTAGAAAGGGCTCCTATGAGGTTCGATAAAAGTTGCAACGTCAGCATTGTTCGAAGGGGTGTTGGACATCCATCTGCACAGAAACTCATAGTGCCAACCAATGACAGCATTACGAGTGGTCCCCATAACAATACAAATTCTCACACGACGTCACTACGAGTCACTACGAATAACGAAACGAAATTAAAGAACCCCCCGAATCCTAAAACCTATACCTTATACTGCGGCGGAGGGGTCCTCGTAATCGCGAAAGATGCCATTCGGAGGCATTGAGGACGACCTTCGGCGCTGAGTTGCCCATACCATCACTACAGGTTGCTTCAACAGATTCTCAAACCTATGTTAAGCCCTGTTTCGTGTGACAGGCGTGGTACTTTCGGTATGTTCGCCAATGTGACTGTCAAACTACCTTCTGCTTAAGAGCCTCAACATAATGCATCCTGAAGCACAGAACGTAATCACCCCCCACCCCGCACGCATAAGTAGAAGCATAAACAGGGCAGAGAACCGCCCCTCCGCACCGTCACCGCATGCATAAAAAAATCTGAAGCAAAATCTTGGCTGACTTCTGAACCCCTGCTAAAAGTTAAACTGTTAGCATCCTTATTATACCTAACATTATAGAAAACCAAAAAGTTAAAGCCCTAAGAGCCAACCAGAAGAACGCCAAGAAATATCTGGGTAGTTGTCAAAACTATGGCCCCTCTTTGGATATCCTAAAGATTAGGGGCCGTATTATCATAAGGACCCAATTGAAAGGACCCTAATAGTGACAACCACCCATAATTAGTAAGGAATATGCCATTATTCCCATAGTTCTGGGTCCTTAAGGTAATGTATCATCAACCCTAAACCCTAAAACCCTATAGATCCGTTAAAGGCACCCCTTAAAGGTAGCCTTATGGATCCCTTCAAAGGAACCCCAGGATTTCTATCTCTGCAAGCGACATCGCAAAGGCCGCCGTGAGAAGAGCCAAACTCCCGTGCTGCTTGGATTGGAAGTTCACGAGAATCAGGACCGTCACGGTGACCTTGTGGGGGGTTCTTGGGATAACTTACGGTTTAGGTGTTTAAGGTTTAGGGTTTAGGGTCTTGGGGTTTTCAGGGCTTTTTGCGGTGGCCTGACGATGTTTAGGTTTGGGGGGTGTTGGGATTTGAGTAAGTTTTAAAGGTTTTAGGGCTTTGAGGTTTTGGGCTCTCAAGGTTTTAGGAGTGTATTGTGGTTGTGCATTGGGGTATATAAGGTTTTAGCCCAGTCCCGGCATGTCCCGGCGCACTTTCCTCAAAACTGAATTTAGTACAAAGTATGCACCCTGTCCTTAAATTCTAGACACCCCGTCGGTCAAGATGTCCGCCCCCCAATCGTCAACAAAAGCATGGACAACGGGCGTAAACCATACGCGAAAGCCTGATCGAAAAAAGCTCACTAGAACTAATGCTGATGGACAAAATCCTGCATTACCCAATACAAGGAATATACCATAATTCCCATAATTGAGGTTCCTTAAGGTTATGCAGGATTTTGTCCAGCAGCAGTATGGTTTAAGCCGAAGAGACTCATAAGGACGAAGAAACTCATAAGAACTACTTGGAGGATCAGGGGACTTAGTAAGTTAAGTTATAAGTACCTTAATTGGGGTTATAAGTAAGTACAAGTATGGCTACCTTAATTACAACCGTAGTTACTAAGTCCCATGATCCTTCAAGTATGGGTTAAAAGACTATAAACTGAAGAAACTCATAAGAACTATGGCTTAAAAGACTATAAACTGAAGAAACTCATAAGAACTATGGTTTAAAACCCCATGAACTGAAGATGCAACCAAGCTGCCAACTGAAACAGCCCGAAGCAAACAGCGCGAAAGGCCAGCTGCACGGCAAAGAGTCTTTGCGCGATGCTGCCAACTACAGTGCCCAGGACGACTCCATTCCTGAGCTCTAAGCCCTAAACCCTAAACCCTAAAACCGTGGTAACCGGTGAGAAAAAAGTATAAACTTTCATTTCATAACGGCTCCTTTTCAGAAAAACGTATTAACGTATGGTACTCCAGGTGTAGGGCAAGCAAGGGTTTCAGGATGGTGGAAGATTTTTGTTTTTTAACGGTGTCCTTCAAGGGTTCCATAGAATGTCCCTCAAGGGCTCTCAATTAGGGCTTCGATTCAAGGTTTGTGTTTAGGCGGCCAATTTAATTTAGGGTGCATGGTTCCGAGGGAGCTCTGCTACGAGGGTTCATGGTGCCGGGTTTGGGAAGGCCGGTCTAGGGTGAATGGTGTGGAGCTCACCCACCAGAGGATAGGGTGTCGAAAAGCATGTTTACTATCGGTTTAGGGTTCTGGGTTTCGGGTTTAGATCGTTCTGAAGCCTAAACCAGTCGCAATCTTAATAAATACAGCCCCTGTCCCTCACAACCCTTTTTTAAAATGACCCGAGATTTCCACCAGAAAACCCTTTATGATTGGAACGGCCCCTGTATTGCAAAGCTGCATCTCAACACATGTGCATGCCTTTAGGCAACGTCTCTTAACCTTGAGAATGTATGTGTTGTAGATAGCGGCGTTTCGACTGCTTCCAAACAGTCTCCCCGTCTAACTATCCCATCCTTACTTTCCTGATCAGAAATCCCATGCTTACTTTCCTGATCAGAAAAGCCATGTAAAGCCGTATGCCACATACTAGGAGCACCATGTCTCAAATCTGAATTGCCTGAACGAAGCAACGACAAGCATAACTACATTCATTCTTAGGTAGACGCCAACCTTGAAACATGAAAGCGGTACTGCATTTGAGACCGCGGTTTCAGCCGCCGCAGCGTCAAAGGCAAACTGGATCCGGTGAAAGTGTAAATGATGACCTCATCTGTGCCATCGCTCAGAATCGAATCTGTCCTACAGTTCTAAATTCTACAAGTGGGAGGTGCCCCCTAGACCCTAAACCCTAAACCCCTAAACCCTGAACCCGAAACGCCAAACCCGCGGTTTTGGAGGGATGAGGTTGTTGGGGTGCTCGGGGTTTCTAGGGCGAATATAGTGGCCTTCGAAGCAATGTAGAACCCTGACTAACAAACCCTCCGAGATTCAAAGGGATGATCATGTGGAGCCTACAGTAACGTAAAGGCCCTGAAGGACAAAGTAAGTATTAATCAAGGGTCTGCAATGGTCTGCATTAGTAAAGGCTTTGGAGGTTTCCGGACTGCGAAACCTACATTCTTACCAACCCCAAACCCTAAACCCGTCTTCATCGTCTCGCTAAAACTACGCCAACTACATATTCTAGAATGATGGCGGCTCACGCAGCAGATGCTTCCGAAGCCCAATGTCTCGAAGTGGTTTGAAGGGCGTACAGGGTCTGGGGTTCGGGTTGAGGGTTTAGGAATTATGGTGGGGCCTGGTGGATCAAGGATTGGTCTTCTGCGTTCTGTCCGAAATGCATATTGCCGGAACATGATATCAAACTTTCGACATAAACTGCGACTGAAATCGAACCCACAGGCCCTAAACCCTAGGCCTAAGCCCCACATCCAAAGCCCTAAACCTTACACCAGCAGCCCAGCAAACCCTATGCCAGGATGCCCAGTAACCTAGGAATAAAAACGGCTCCCTGATTGGTATTGGGTAACTTTATAAGGAGCCTAGGACTACAAGAAGGGAATAAGGGCACTACTCGGCATCCTAGTATGTGAACAACCCTCCTTCCTCAGCCGAGATGACACTCACCGTGGATGCCGGAGTGGAAGAGTACGGCGCAATCACGTTGGAGATGCCCAGCCAGCCAAGCAGAAAGGTGATCTCAGGTATTGCTGAGGCACTCAGGGTTAAGGGCCTAGGATTGGGGTTATCAGGGGTTTGGGCCGCAAGTTTCTAATTACTCGACACTTGTTTTGAGTAACCCGGGTTCAGGGTTTGCCCCAAACCCTAAGCCAAGTGGCCGTGAGCGAGATCGTATGTCGAAGGACGAAGCGCGGGTGAGTGATCTGACGCTCGTAGAGCTTGATTTCCAAGTGCGCCTGCGACCGACCATTGAGCCCCATTCCCCCTTCAACTAAGGGCCCATATAATTCAATGTAATATAATATAGGAATATACCTTAAACCATAGTTGGTATTCAGGGCCCTTTAGTTTCGGTGCCTGAATCAAGGAATATACCTTAAACCATAGCATTACATCCCCTATGATCTGAATACCTCAATCAAGGAATATAGCTTGACCACAGTGCTCGGGCCCCTTGAAATTAGTTTAAAGTTTAAAGTAACGAGAATCCTATACTGAACTTAGAACCCTAGCAACAATTGTAACTTTAGCTGTTTCTTAGGGATTATAGTAACCAAAAATTAAAAAAACTATTTCTAAGTACCCCTAAGAATCCTTCAGTCAAGGGGTATGGGTCTCCGTAGGAGGAAGGAGCTCGGGCACCCTCCGTGTTTCGGTATGGCCGGTGTGGGTTTGGGCTTGGGTTTATCGGTCTCCTGTCTACTACTTAAAGGCTTAACGTTTAGCGTTTGGACGCTTCCCACCACCGTAAACCCTAAACCCAGAACTCTGAAAATCAATCCGAAACATACGCAATGCTGAAGGACTTGGAACCACGCGGTACTCAGGGGGATGAGTTCTTGAACAGAAGGGACAGTCCCTCACTTCCGAGACATCCTTTGCAGTGGCCTGAAGGGATCTCCACCAGCGGGACCTCGTCGTGTCCTCCTGGATGTAAATTTGTTCCATATCGGCTGAAATTTAAAGCTCAGGGTTTTTTTGGGGCTATGGGGTCTTACCCTGAACCCTGAACCCTAAACCGCTTGGGGAAAACGGTGGACGTTGGGTGTGGGAAGGTCTCGGTGTCGAGGTCTTGGGGGATGGAACATTTCGTCTGTGTCCCTGGGGACATCATGGTGCCATAAGAGCTGCTGGGGCTGCTACAGAAGCCCTGGATCATCTGGCTCTAGGGCTCTAGGGTCTAAGGGTCAGAGTTTAGACACCCTCGGCGTGGTTTCGCCACTGCCAAGATATGTCTATTTCTTGCGTGACCTGGGAGTTCATCGGCCTGCAGGAGAGTTTATGGCTTAGTTTTCCGGTATCCAGGGTTCCGCTCCAACAGAACAGTCCCTGCGTCAAGCCTTACGAAATTCTCCTAACCTCGAACCAGCCGGCTTTTGGTAGAGAAGGAAGGCATCTGAAATGTGAATTTGGTCGTTCTTGCCGGTATTCCCAGACAGACACTCGCCGACGTATATGGGCGGTTGTCAAAATCAGGGTCCCTTTTTGGGGTCCTTATTATAATATGGCACCTAATGTTTAGGGTACCCAATAAGGGACCTTAATTTTGCCAACTACCCATATACTCCTAAATACCTCTGATCTCCAAAGGCCAAAACCACAACCCTGCGCCTTAGAGCCCTCCAACCCCTCGCATTAAACCCTAAAGCCCGAGACCTTAAACCCTCTATACGCACTAACAGCCAAAGCCCCATAAACCCTATACACCCAGAACCCCAAACCATGTAAACCCTAAAGTCTTTTGCACTCTCAACACCCAACGAGTCTTAAGTACCCAATGTGGGCGGTACTTATAGAAACAAGACTTTCTGCGAGGTTGGCCCTTCAAAGCCCTTGAAACATACTAGTAAACAAGATCCTCTAAAGCCAAATAAGGGGCACCTAACATGTCCCAAAGGCCCACCTAGTCTACTACCTAAACCCTAAGCCCTTAAGGACAGCCCAAGGCTAGATCCTCGAGGCCGTAGAGGGCTAGCGAAGAGAGCGAGTCGCAGGTATCCTGGATAGGGGGCACTTGGGGATTTGGTCTTCGGGAGTTTAGGGTTAGGGTTTAGTGCTTCGGGCTAATAGGGCTTAGTGTTTCGGGGTTATAGGGTTCGGACTGGGTATGCAAAATTTTGCAGACTACAGGGCGCTTGGGTCTGCTAGTAAACAACCGAACAGCTGAGCTCGAAACCTCCTCGCATCGCCAGCATGCAAAAGCCGTTGCTGAAGGTAACAAGTTGAACGATTGCCAGCGGGGCTAGTCGTCACATTGAGAAACACACGGTTTTAGAAAAGACGGCACCACTAAACCCTAAGCACTAAACCATTAAATGTAGGATCAATTGGCTCGCATCGTAAACGAAGAAAACCCGGAAACCAAGAATTCATCGACCTAGAACCTCGACGTCGCAGTACTAAAAACCCCAAGCATATCCGAAAACCCTAGACCCCAAAGCCCTGAACCTACAAATTCGCGAACCCCCAAAATTCCAGAAACAACACTGGAACCCTACCTCAATTCCAAATCCTCAAAGCTACCAGTAAGCATTCAACCTAAATAAAAGGTATCGAAAATCCGAACCACAAGTGCCAAACCCTGATTCAACTCCGAATCCGGCTCCATCCTTGACGAGCCTAAACCCTCAACCCTGGACCCTAAATCTTAAACCCTAAACCCTAAAACCTAAACCTTAAACCCTAAACTTTAAACCCTAAAACCTAAACCTTAAACCCTAAACCCTGAGCCCTGATTCAACTCCGAATCCAGCTCCCTCCTTGACGACCCCTGCAAGAGTGAGGCTGAACACCAAGGAGGGGGGCAGCAAGAGCCTCGGATTCCGGGCGGCCACCCCGGTGGCGGGGGAAATTTCCATTTGGGCGGTTGACAAAATTAAGGCCCCTTTTGAGGTTTAGGGTTTTGGGGTTTAGGGTTCAGGGTTTATGCCCCCTTTTTGGGTACCCGAAATATTAGGTGCCGTACTATAATAGGGACCCAAAAAGGGACCATAATTTTGACAACCACCCATTTAGAGAATTGAGTTTTGCGCTTCGGCTGGGCGCTGCCCCCATACAGGAACCATCGATAATAAGGACATGATGGGCATGTCATAAAAATGTCTGAAAAGTATTCAACTGTCTCTGAATGGGGACAGTATCCAACGGTTGTCGGCCTCCAGAGCAGTTTGGGTTTGGGGTTGGGGTTTAGGGCATTGAGTTTGAGTTTAGGGCTTCAGGGCTTAACGTTTAGGGTTTTGGTGCTTTTAGAATTGGGCAATGGAAACCTCAACACCGAAGACGGACAAGCAGTCGAGCCCAGTAACGCCGGCAGGGCCGATCCGAGGTCTCAGGTCCCGGTTAGTAGGGAATGGAGGAATGGGGCACACTTATAACTACTATTCGTACCATTCTTCCATTCCCTACTAGCCAAAGGTAAGGCAACCCCGAACATTGAACAGTACTGGTTCGGGCTTAGGGTCTGCAAAAACTTTGGGGTCAGGTGTTGGGGTCTCTGTGAGTCGATACCTACAAACAAGTCCACACCCCAAAACCCTAAACCTGGAATCCAGTCCTGAACCCTAAACACAAACACCTAACACCTAAAACTCCGCGAGAAAACTTCGAACATTCTCGAAATCCTGCTGTTGGATCTAAGGCTTTCTAGGGTGCCCATCTGAGGCGCACTCATTATCAAGGGGTTTAGGGATCAGGGTTTAGGGCATAAGGTTTAGGGTTTATAAGGTTTAGGGATAAGGCTGACGCCTTTTTTGTTTTTGAACCCTCTTTTCCTCCTGCCCGGTAAGTTAGTTGGAATGCCTTGCTCAGCCTCAGGGTTTAAGGTAAAAAAGAAAACTGGAATATGATTATCCTAACCCTTCTATGGTAAATTATAGGGTATCCTACCATGAAACCATATTCCAACTTTCTGGAGTTCCTTGTAGGGTTTGTCTCCAATGCAAGTAGCTGATCGGACTGCTGGCCCTTCGAGAATTCCACTGCCAGCTGTTGCTGCAGGGCCTGCGACCCAGGAGTGTCTAATACCCATCCATGGTGTGAAGTTTCACAATATATCTATGTGTATATACATATATATGTTTATCTATATTTAGAGGTTGTTTTCTTTTGTTTCCTGTTTTCTAATATACTGGACCGTAATATGTATATATATATAAATATATATATATATGTATCTTCATTGTTTTGTGGAGGGTGCGTCGGAATACGGGCCCGTGCTTTTCGAGTAAAACAGCTGTGTTTTTCGTATGCCGCCATATAATCTGAAATTCTATCTACCCAGAGAATGAAAAGACAAGATCCGTGGGACTGATGCCTGAACACCCCAAAACTCAACAGGATGGAGTTGATGGCGAACCTGAAAACTTTGCCGTAATCACACTACTCTATATCTGAACCCGAAAACCTATACAGCAACTCGCAAACTTCAAGAAACATAAGTGGTGAATAGATCCCAAATCAGAAACATAGCACCTGGCCTGACATCAGATGTTGGACCCTTACCCGAAGGGTCCACCTAGATATATGATATGTGCCTGGTTCTTTATATGTTAACTTGATAACCAAAGCATATACTGTTTAGTTATACGGAACCTGGGATAAATCCAAATCTTGACAAGGAGATTCTCTGAAACCTACAGCCTCGTCACGACATGACCTTAAAGATTGGATGGGTAGCAAATCGCTAAGCCTAGCACTTGGTTCCCTAAAATAACAGATCATGGCAAATTCAAATCCCTGAGATATAAAACATCGTTTGAATCCAAACTGTTTGGGGGCCAAGAGCCCCAAACCTTAGTCGGATATGATGGCTGGCAAACCCAGCAAATAGGTGCCTGGCCTCCGAAACCGAAAAGGAATTCCTAAACATACAATAACTGATCAGAGGTGGTGGTGGGCAAACTTTCAACTTCATGCCTTTAAAAGCAGATGGTGAATGGCAAACCTTAAATGCTGAGAGGGCCCACTGGGTACTGCAATTCCCAAACCTAACTCGTGGGATAGAACAGCGACAGGCATAAGACTCTTGAAAGAAATAGTGGTAATCCAAAAGGAGGAGAAGAAGGCAAGATGCAAAACAGGCTTCATGCAAGGGACAGGTTGGAAGCCATTTTTGGAGCCCTCAAAACCCTTAACCCTAAACCCTCAACCCTCTAGCTGGTAACTGACGGTACCTATAGTCTCCATTGTAATTCGACTTTTTGGCTCACCAAAATCTACACTAATCGAATCCTAACCATAAACCTGGTTAACCAAAAATAAA